TTCCATTTTATTAACTAGATGGTCTATATAGTAATATGTGCACAGTAAGTGTATGGAAAATTGAAGCTTTCACCCTTTTGCTTATCCTGTTTCCTGATGACGCTGTAGGATTGTCAGGGGAACCTGGACAGGGTGTACCCATACTACTAGTAACTAGCTATACGTGCGGTGCGCTAGTCCGTGATAGGCAGCCGAGGGCCAACAGACACTTCTTGGGCTAACTAACTCGTTAACTAACTGGTGGTTAGTTTACTCCGTACTCTTCTTGAGGTTACCTGATGCTGAGAATAATGGACAGTTTCTGTTCTCAAAAAAAGAAAGCTTTTATTCGAGGGCGCCCCGTGCTCACAGCCAACTAACAATAATAGTGGCATATATTATTTTAGTTACCGTAATGCCCTGGCAGTTAAGCTGAAAAAGTTGTAGGGTAGCTTACTCTGTGCCCTGTGCAGAGTTTTGTGGCGGGCTCTGGTTCCGCTGAGAGCTAGAAGTTGGGGGCACGGAAGCAAGCTTGTCTACTCCGTACTCCGTAGGGCAACAAAAATATGAAATATTTGTCCCAAGAGTCAGCCAAACATCGACCCTTTGTGTTAAATAATAGTTGTCTGTGCCCAAGGTGATTGACAACCCCAATTGAATATCTAATACTCCGTATCCCACAGCTTCCAGGACTTTCTCTAGCCAACAACGGCCAAGTGCGCCTATCACAGCATCCACCCTCTTTTAGCTCCCTGCACTAGCCGACTCGCTATCCAAGAAATAGGAGAAAGCTGACAAGGGCATCTTGCTCCAAACCCAATACTGTCTGGAACTATCCAACCGCGGCAGAAGTCCACAGCGGGAACTGCTAGCAATTAATCCATTTGCTTCTCCCCTCCCTCTGGCCATTACCAACAACAGGCAATACAGGGTTCTCTTCCAATATCTCAAGGCCAGGCTGGCATCGTGGACAGTCAAGCTTCTCCTCGCTTTTGGTGGGGGGCAATATTTGTCCGTGCATCCCAGGGGATCGATCTGGGGAAACTTCTTTCGATTAAATATTTTCTTCGATTAGTGGACGTCTGGTACGAACTGTCACCCCAATATGATTGCTTATTCCCATTTCATTCCCCTCTTGCTCCCGAAATATATGGTTTCATTCCTCAGCTGGTTATGGGGAAAATATAGCAATTGATGCATTGACTGACTCGAGCTAGTTTATTTCCCCGTCGTGGTTGGAATTCGCGGATTCCTTTGCCATACATGAACTAGCTGCCGCTTCCGCAAACCGTGTCACGAAGCGATCAGGTTCTGAATGAATACTCTCGCAATCCCGCAAGAGCTCTTTCTTCTATCCTGTCTTTCTCCAATACCTCTTTGATCCTTTCCCCTTCACGGGATTTAAATTTTAATCCCCACCACGCGGTTCGGATTTCCTTACTTTCGTCAATCACAAATCATGCCCTGGCGACCTCTTCCTCGGATTGCATTCGCTGTCGCAATCTATCCCTTCCAGCCTTCGTCTCCCGCGGACCTCCCACTAGAACTTGGCGATGAACTTTACATAATTGAACAAGGAGGGGCTAATGGATCTTGGTATCGGGGTTATCTCGTTGCGCCTCCTTCACTACTTGCGGGCTTAACCAGCGTGAAGGGGCGCACGCTCGAGGCAAGGGTATTCTCAGGAATCTTTCCCAAAAACTGCGTGGAGGTGCGAGAGGTCCTAGGTGATGTAGACGGGTCAAGGGACGGCAGATTGAGCACTCAGCTCACTCCAAGAAAATATGCTGGCTCGAGAACCAGCACCGCATCCCCTGACAGTTTTTCCCTCACGGATGGCAGGACGCTTGCCACTAGCGTAGGTGAGCTTAAAGCGTCGCGGAAGATATCCCAAATTACAATTATAAAACTAGAGGAAAAAGGAGGTAGCCGACGGTCTGTGTCCCCTTCTTTGCCATTGACACCTATATCCCTAGGCCCCCGCGACCCTAGCGCTGTTAAACCACCTGCCCCTGTCCCCATGCTGAAAATTGGTGATGAAACGCCCACTTCGGCCGCAGAGCCTCTCGTAGACGAAATTGCATCATGTTTATGGGAATGGCATTCTACAAATATACACCAACTCCTCTTGACTCGACATACACGACTCTGAGATATGTCCCAATATTGTTTTAGAACTAGACCTTGCACGACGACAGTTGTTGCACAATGTCCTAACAGCGCAAGAGCGCGCGGCCCTTGCGAGAAGAAACTGTGTGGAATCTCGTCCGGGGAAATAAAATGCTAAGCGGGGAAGTGGTTGTTCGCGATCCAAAACAACGAGGCCGCTTGCTTACTGGAGACGATTCAGCCGTGGAATTGACCAAGCTTCAATCCGAAATGAGCATGCTTGATCGTGGACTTACTCCTCAACTCGATAATATCTCTCTCCATCATCTGCTTCTTGAGGTGAATGCAGTTTCCGGGACGGATGCTGGTTCGATCACTCTCGCCGCCAGTCTATGGTTGAAACAAGCAAATGGAGATATACGGCAACTTTCAGAAACCTACTCTTTAGACCTGCCCACCGCTGAAACTTTCGCTACGTTGGTTAACAACACTAAGTTGAAGACCCTCTTTACGGACTTGAGTGCCACTGATATTGGAGAAGGATCTAACTCCGATTCGAAGCTGTACCTTGTCATCAAGGCCTTGGGATCTGAGTCACCTAGGATCAATGCACCACCAAAATCTCGGTCATCGAGCTCCCGTGATGGGTCCTTATCAAATAAAGTGGCTTCGGGTATCAATAGCGCCGGAAAGGGTAGCTTGAAGGCCAGGCGTAGTATGATGTGGGGCGCCAAATCTAGAGGTTTAGGTCCTGAAATTGGAAAAGAGCAATCAAGACATCCACCACAGTCGAGCGACTCGGTCACAGCCAAGCCCAGCGAAACTGATACCCTCGGTAAAGAGCGCACAGTTATTAGAGTAGTGGGGCTTGGAGCACTGGATATAAGCGCCATAGCCAAGCAAGGTAGGGAGGTCGAGCAGGTCGTTAATATCTGGTCCCCCCTTCGTGCAAACGATGAAGAGGATGACTACTCTGATGGCTTCGATGAGATCGTACGGTCCCTTCTCTATAGTCCGACGAAACAGTATGTGAGATCGCTTCGCGCGGCAAGGGTCCATGTACAGCTCCACCCATTCACTAGCGAAGATGCTGAGACGCTTGTACGAAACAACCCTACTTCCCTCCATAACGTCACACACACAAAACGAATAGGATTTTCCGGAGCGCCAACTAAACCGAGATCCGATATCTACGTCACGATAAATCGAGCAACCATCTCACAAGAGGCCCTGCTTTCTCATCCGATCAACTGTCAGGTTCCGGTCCCGCAGGTTACTGGTTTACGGAACCTCCAGTTGACCCTCGAAGTCCGTAATACTTCAGGAGTACGGATTGAACGTTGTATCTACCCTTCCTCCAACGGACCAGGCCAAACTGCGTGGAGAACTACTGTTGCAGAGAGAGGCGCCCCTTGGAACCAAACGATTAGATTGAACATTCCCCCAGATCAAGTCTCCACTGCGCATCTTATTATGAGCATAGCTGATGCCCCTGAGTTTCTCTTTGCTTTGAGCTGGATGCCTCTGTGGGACCAACAAGCATTTATTCGTGACGGCTCTCATTCCTTGTTATTGCATGCTTACGACAAGTCTACATCAAACATTGAAAATGGTCGCGGCGCATATTTATCTCTTTCTCTGGAGTGCACTTGGAAAGAACGAATCTACCAAAGACGAAGCTGTTACTGGTTCCA